CCACAACACCTGGCCATTTTTTGGTTGCAGCCATCATTGTTGTTTTGGCAGGCCTGGGCTGGGGATTCGAACCCACCACCTTAGGTGTATGTGGCTGGCGCCTTAGCCACTTGAGCCACAGGCGCTGAGCCGTCACGTGTATTTCTTAAGCTTAGAGGCCAGCTGAGCCCATTCGGAAGCTGCTCTAGAAACACCTTCAGTAATCAAAGCAGAGGTTAGTTCCAGGCAGGGAGGTCTAAAGGTTTGAAGCAACAGCCTTCTCCCCTCAAGGACCCCAATAGTAAAGATAAGATGTGTGTTAAAATAGCTCCATAGCAGAACATTCTGGATTGGGCAGCTTAGGAGTCAGCTAAGTATCATGGATTTAGTGGAGCCTGAGCCAATCCTGCCTGGGTAACCCAGAGCCGCCTCAACAGAGCTGTCCCTAGTGTAGTCCAAGACCTTTCTTTACAGACTCATCATCAAATCTTTGTAAGGGCCAAAATTTTGTATTGCTTGTTATAATCTCTGTTCCATACTGTTGTACATAAGCCTCAGCCCTGTTCACATTCTCTTTACAAGTTAACAGAAAGTGCTTTAGTGTATTAAGAAGTCCTTCTAATTTTGTTGGTTCCCAAATGATAACTACCCATTTTTATCCCTCCCGGTAGTGTGAAAATTTAGTCTATATTAGGAAGCAGAACTCTATAGAAGGAACAGGGGTGAGACTGATCCCATTCTCGTCTTAGTGACGTGGTGTCTTCCTCCGCAGCACGATTCTGTGGGAAAGGAGTGAGGTGGAGCATGCAGAACCTGAGATTTTCCTCATCCTCACCTAAAAGGGTTCTGGGGCTTCTGTGATCACAGAAATGTTCAGTGACCATGTACGGCCATAGAGCACTTGCAATGTGACCACATGATTGAGGAACTGAGTTTGTAAATTCATTTCATTTTAATTAATTTAAATTTAAAAGGCTTCTGTTTTGAACAGCAAAGTTCTAGGCCAGGAGGCCACAACTGGACTGAGCTCTCCAGTGTTCCAAGTGGGGACATGGATATTGAAGACTAAGTCTTAGGTGAGGCTTCTGCAGAACGCTCTGCAGATGGATGCCTCTGGGAGTCCCTCAGCACAGAGACCTTTAGGCTGTACTGTGTCCTCTTCCCACTCCTGTCACACCAGCTCCGGGGCACTTCTGGACCCCTAGGTGAAGACTGCAGGGCAGTGAGCTGGTTCCTATCCTAGGTGAAGGGACAGAGTGGCCCAGGAAAGGTTTCAGAGCACTTAGTACATGTGGCTTGTATAGAGTTGGGGTTTCCCCAGAGCAGAAGTCAGCAGGACAGTGTCTAGAAGGCCATGTGTGGCAAAGACAGCCTGCAAAGTAGGGTCGTCTTTCCAGGGTAGCTGTGGACCTGGCTCCTGTCCTTAGCCTGTTTTTAGTTGGCCTTGGTTCAGTCTCTCCCTATCCACAGATTTTTCCATTGAGAATGATTTACTAAGGGAAGAAAACTGTTGTATGGTGTGATGCGTTTGGGAACCTTGTGTGACAACAGGCTGAAGGCCTTTGTTTATTTGGAGGGGTTGGCAGCCAGGGGGTAAAAGTTTGTTTGGGCACCGTGTCTCCCCTGTCTTGGAAGAGTTAACTGCCGGGAGGCTGCAAGTGACGTCAGTCCTGATCTTTGCACCTCTCCCCTGGAGCACCCAGGTGCCGCCTTCTTCAGGGAGGTCTGTGCTCATTGGCTGCCGACTGGACTTGCAGTGGGCGAGGCTTTTTAATTAAGTAGAAGGGCAAGGCTTCAGCAGCCAATGACAGCTGCAGCCGGCGTGTCTTGTGCAAGTTAACCGGGACTGGCAGCATTCACAGAACTTGCTCCGGCGGCGGTGGCTGAGCACCCAGCAGCCTGTCAGCATGCTCTGCCTGTGTCTGTATATGCCACTCATCGGGGAGGCCCAGGCCGAGTTCCAGTACTTCGAGTCCAAGGGGCTTCCCTCAGAGCTGAAATCCATCTTCAAGCTCAGTGTCTTTATCCCGTCCCAGGAGTTCTCTACTTACCGCCAGTGGAAGCAGGTGTGTGGGTGACATAGTTGGTACATTAACTGGGGTTTGTGAATGGCTGAACAGCATAAGGGCTACGCATGCGTGAACTATCCCCCGCAGAGAGGAAAAAATGTCTGAAATGTGAGAGTTTTACTGCCCAGTTGTCCATCATTGGCAGAAAAAGGTGTACGTCACAGGGAGTGACTGGTTTTCATGTGACTTCTAAGGAAGGCTGGAATTCTAGCGAGGGCCACTTGTGGGAGGTTGACTCTGGGAAAGGAATCTTCTTTTGCTGAGGAATGGGAGATTTCCTGAGAAAAGTCTGGGAAGGAACCTGGGGGTAATCCAGCTGCTGTGAGCTGTTTCTCTGAGCTGTGGGGTGGAGGCTAGAAACGCATGTGAAGGGGGAGGCCCAGAGTGGGCCTCTGGGGGCTGGACTGAACCTGGGTGCAAAGGCAAGGAGAACCTTTCCCACCTTCTAGACCCTCACGTCCCTATAGAGCAGGGACTGTGGTCATCCTAAAGATGGGGAACTGAGCAGCAGGGTCTGGGGGTCACTTGCCTCCTCAACTTCCTTGTCCATCAGATTCTGCTGTCCCCTAGTGTTCCCTGTGGCAACAGAGGTCAAACAGGGTACACTGGGGGTAGATTTTCATACCCAAGGAAGGAGGAGGAAGCCTCAGTCCTTTTGAGGTAGACAGTATTTTGAGACCAGCTGGAGCAGGCACATCACGGGCTGTCTGTGTCACAGAACCTGCCCCAGTAAGGCACATGGACTGCCTTGGTGGCAGATGTCTGGGTACCAGAGAGCTCCATGCTTAATGTTGTCCTCTTCCCTGAATGGCACATGGACTCATTCCCACTGCTCTCAGAATCTGTCTGGAGTGGACACCCTGTAGGTTAATCATATCACTGTTGGCTGAGAGCACGAATGTCCACAGGAAGTTAAAGATAACCAACCTCGGATAGCAGATGAAATATATACCAACATCTGTCCCACATTCCAGCCACACCCCACACATTAGTCTTTTGATCATATCAGGTCATGGGGTATCTGTCCTAGCCTCCCTCCTCAGCACCCTCAGTGGCTGAGGAATCACGAAGAGCCTTCAAGTGCTTTGAGGTGATGTCTAAGAGAGAGACCACACTCACATGATCTAGCTAATAATCATCTATCAATTTCCAAACCCCAGCTGGCTCAAAAGACTTAAGAACCCAAGTTGATTTGTGGATATTGAATGGATTTCTTACTAGAAATTCAGGGAATACAGGATAACTATAACCATTTTCCTGGGGAGATTCTCAGTTCGGATTTTGGGTTCTAGATTTAGGGTGTTGCTATGTAAGTGACTCATGTTTGTCCCCCACATTCTGGAGATTATCCTGCAGTGTGGCAGGAGGATCTGCAGGGAGTGGTTTGGGAATCCAACAGGCCTGGCTTGAATCCCGCCCACCACTTCCTTAGCTGTGTAACCTTGCGTAAATACTCAGCCTCTCAGAACTCCTGTTCTTTCTCTATAAACTGGGAGAATGATAGTGCCTACCTCCCAGGGCTATTTGAGAGGAGTCAGTGGGTTTCCAGAAGTAAAGCATTTAGCACAACTTGTGGCACTTGCTAAGTGCTGAGGAAATATTTGCTCTTTTGTGGAGAAATACCGGTTGCTGAACAGTGAAAACCAATTTAACTGTTAAACTAAAGCCACCTCCTAAAGCGGGTTCAGAGTTTAGAAACCTCATAGCCAAGGAACAGGGTCTCTCACAGTCTGCTTGGGTCACTAAGTCAAGCTGCCCTGGTTGTTAGCAGCTGGCATAGAGAGCTAGTTGGTTATGTCATGTGGCTTCCTTGAGACCAGGGACTGGCAATGCCATCAACTAACATGCCCAAGAATAGTTTCCCTGACTTCTTCAGCCTCCAGAGTGTGTTTGGCAGAGTTTCTGCCAAGCAGGCATTGGCAGAGTCCAGCTCTGCCCCATATTTTCACCCTGGCCACCAAATTGTTGTTGAGCCAGTGCCACTTTTTGGTAGAAATAAGAGCAAGAGTTCCCAATGGAATTTGCAGTCTGAGGCCATCCCCACAACTTGGCAGGAAGCTGTGGGACTGGGGGCTAGAGCCAGGGACAGCATGGCAGGGTAAGAGGTCCTCAGAACACTGAGTGAGAACTACCCCTGGCCTGTCTGGAGAGTTCTCCCAGGGGCTGCTTTCTCCTCTTTCTCTTTGCTTATGAGGAAGGCAGCCTGGGTCCTTGTTTGGCTTCTGGCCAGCACTTGGCATAAGACTAAATCTCCGTGGTGGTTTTGGGAGCAGAACAGACCCATCTTCAGTCATTGGGGTCATAGATAAGCACCAGTGTGTCCTGGGGAGGGGGGGGCCCTCCGAGGGACAAGGCAAGGCTGGGTCATGAGTTTACTTTTTTATTTTTTTTCCGTAGAAAATCGTACAAGCTGGAGATAAAGACCTCGATGGGCAGCTAGACTTTGAAGAATTTGTCCATTATCTCCAAGATCACGAGAAGAAACTGAGGCTGGTGTTTAAGAGTTTGGACAAAAAGAATGATGGTAAGCATTCCCTCCAGAGCCACCAGCTGGGCTGCCCTTGGGCCCCCATGTGCCAGCCCCTGTTCAGGGCCTTTGTTGTTGCAGGCCGCATCGACGCACAGGAGATCATGCAGTCGCTGCGGGACCTGGGGGTCAAGATATCTGAACAGCAGGCTGAAAAAATTCTCAAGAGGTGAGTGCTCAGCCAGCTGCGTGTTGGTTTAACTTTTGTGACAGAAAAAGTTCTTAGGCTAACTCTGTGAAGCTGCTGTTCACTGTATTGTCCCAATTACTCCAAACTTGGCCTTGTTATAGTTTAAAAGGATGAATAAGTAACCCTTCCTGGAGGCTAGCCTCTCCCTAGGTTTCCTGGCCAGCCCTCATTTGAACAGTCACAAATCACTTGGAATTAGGCCCATTTGCCAGTGTCCCATGTAGAAAAAAGACTAGTTGGGGTGGGGTAAGGGCTTTCCAAGTGGGTGAAAGGCCATCAGGGAACACCACTGCCTGTTCAGGACGGCAGAGGGGCTCGCACCACGGCCTTCACCTTGAAGGCAGCACCTCATTCTCAATGCCATGTCAGATGTGCTACCCCAGAAGATGGCTCCCTGGTAAGGGGTGATTACCAGAAAATGGCACAGACTAGCCCTAGGAGTTGCTTTCTTTCCTAGCCAAGCCTTTCTGGAATCCTGCAGCCTGAGTGCTGGCTGGTTCTCAGGGACAACAGTCTCTCACATGGCGGCTCCCTGGGGTCAATCTCTGGGGGGGGGGGCTGTCCTCGTGCTGTGCTGTACCCCTACGTCTTGGGTGTGTGCTTGCTTCACTAACATCTGCTCTGGGCACTTACTTGTGTTGTTTCTCCTCTCTCCTCTGCACCCTCCTTTGTCTGTCTGTCAGAATACGAACGGGCCACTTCTGGGGCCCTGTCACCTAGTAAGTATCCGTGTTGCCCGGTGACTGCCTCCCTCCTCTGTGCCTGATTAGAATGGGGATCTTGTGAGCCATTGTACTTCTATTTCTTGCAATGTGGCCTGTGGAGCCAACTTGCCCTTTCTCATTACCGGCAGAGGTGCCTTCTGTGGCTTCCTCAGTGGCCACAGCACCTGCCCTTGGCTTGCCTGAGGTGGGAAGTACAGCTGACAATTGGGGCCTGTTTACACATGGGCATCCTTGCCTTTCTCTTGCAGCATGGACAAAAATGGCACAATGACCATCGACTGGAATGAGTGGAGAGACTACCACCTCCTGCACCCCGTGGAGAATATCCCCGAGATCATCCTGTACTGGAAACATTCCACGGTGAGGACCAGGCCCACAGGCATCCCTTAGCCCAGCATCAGCCAGTCGTCCCCACCCCAGAGTAGGGCTGTGGGTTCCCAGCTGCCTCCTCTTCAACAGCAAGGCTGTCCCATCCCCTCCTGGCCCCGGGGAGCCATGCTCATCTGGCTCCCCCGGCTCCCCCCACACCAGCCAACCTGCATAGACCCATCCCTCTCACACCAGGCTCCCTCTGCCAAGAATGTCCCATCCTCATATGCCACCTGCTCTTCACAGTCAATTTCAAATGTCCCTCCCCCTAATGCTTATTCTCCCAAAGCCCATGTGAACCTTTCCTGCTAGGGGTGGGGGACAGAAGCTACTCTATACACATAGGTAGACCTATCAGGTGTCCCCCTCCACCCTCTTTGGTGTTGTATATCTCACTGGCAAAAAGGACATCCCCACAGTTATGTCCTTGTTACCCTTTCAACCTGACCACTGTGATTCATGGACAGAAATCTGGGTCTGTGTCAACCTCCCTGTCCATGGGCCCCTTCAGCTTGGTCCTCTCTGTTGGTCCTTGCTGAGGCCTCGCTGTGTGCAGTCCTGTCCTCCTGGGAAGAGGGGGGCCAGAGGTGTCCCCATCAACCTCCCACAGTGCTGCGCCGGGGTAGTTGGGTAAAATTATGTGGATGGCTCCAGGGCTGGGAGCGGCTGGCCCAGGTCTTTGACCTGCAGCCCTGGGTCAGAGCAGCACTGGCTCTGACCAGCCTGGATGCTGCCCTGGGAGGGTATTACGCAGGCAGCAGACCCGCATAGTTGTTGAGGCCTTGCATAATGTTCTGCCAGCACGATCTGGTACATATCGGGTTTCAGAGCTTTTAACCCGATGTCGCTACCAAGCCTTGGAAGCTGTCCACACAGGAGCTCCCTGGCAGCACAGGAGAGGCCAAATGGTTTCATAAGTGGTCTCCTCCAGCTGCACTCACCTCAGTCTCACCTGGTCTCTCCAGGACCACAGTGAAAATGAGCACTTTGCACTTTGCCCCCTTCAGAGGGTGAAAGACCCCCATTGGCTTCCCACACAGGGTCCTTGGCACTCTCTCAGTGATCCCTGGGAAGGAGCCATGTGAGAGGGTGGATAGCAGTGGGTGTCAGCTGCCCTGCCTGAGCGTCCTGAGCAAGGTCATGTCATCTGCGCGGGTCTTCCTCACAGATCTTTGATGTGGGCGAGAATCTGACGGTGCCTGATGAGTTCACAGTGGAGGAGCGGCAGACTGGGATGTGGTGGAGACACCTGGTGGCAGGAGGTGGGGCAGGGGCTGTCTCCAGAACCTGCACAGCCCCCCTGGACAGACTGAAGGTGCTCATGCAGGTATGCTGGCGAACAGGTCCCAGACCACCTGGTTTTTGCCTTAGGAATCACTGGCTGATTGGTTTCCCCTCCCCTGGGGGGGACCCTGCTATGGGCCCAAACTTTTCTAACCCAATAAATTAGATTGAAATTACTGCTCAGACAAGGGCATCATTAGCTCCACCCTAAGTGACCTTTTGCATATAACAGATCTAATTTTATCGGAGGCACTTAAGCCAGACGTCACATTATAGGAGCTTAATGCGGAGAGATGAAGCCCGTGAGACTGGGATGAGGCAGGAACCAACTTCCTTAAGCACATCTCATGTAGGGCGCCCCATGGTGGGGGCAGGGGATAGATGTGAGCAGATCCTCACTTGACCCAGATGCCAGTGGGACAGTGCCATCACCTTGGCCGGGTGTGCAAATCCACGTCCACAGGGCAGAGATAAGCTGAGCTGATGTCATGGCAGATTGTGAAACCAGTCCACCCAATGACATCTGGTGGACTTTGATGTCTTCTGGGCAGTGACCAGTTACCCCTGTACCCTTGCTTGTGTCTAGCACTTTTTGTACCAGGAGCTCTGCTCAGAAAAGGCAGCCTCCCTTGCCCTGGGCCCCTGGGTTCGAGTGAGCAAACATGAGCTCCCTGTGTGAACTGCGACAGGGAAGCTGAATGGTTCTGGGTGGAGAGCTTTGGGCTTAGACTCTGCCCCAGCCCACTCCCTCCCTGCAGTGTGACCTTGGGCAAGCCTTTACCTCCCAGGACCTCCTTTCCTCTGTGAAAATGGGGCAATAATTGCCTTAACAGTGGGGGGGGCTTTTTTGTTTGCTTTGTTTTGGTTTTTTTGAGACCAAGTCTCTGTCACCTGGGGTAGAGTACAGTAGCATCATCATAGCTCACTGTAACCTCAAACTCCTGGTCTCAAGCGATCCTACCTCAGCCTCCCAAGTAGCTGAGACTACAGGAACATGGTGTCACACCCAGCTAATTTTTCTAATTGTTTTTGTAGAGATAGGATCTTGCTCTTATTCAGGCTGGTCTCAAACTCCTAACCTCAAGCAGTCCTCCTACCTTGGCCTCCCAAAGTGCTATGATTACAGGCGTGAGCCATTGGGCCCAGCCATCAGTGTGTATGTATGTTTTAACAAAGTTCCCAGGAATGTGACAGAGATTAAAAGCATTCCTTGGGTGAAATGATACAATGTCTGGGTGACAGAGCAAGACCCTGCCTCAGTGAGTAGGGCGTTGGCCCCATATACCAAGGGTGGCGGGTTCAAACCCGGCCCCTGCCAAACTGCAACCAAAAAATAGCTGGGTGTTGTGGCAGGCACCTGCAGTCACAGCTACTCAGGAGGCTAAGGCAAGAGACTCGCTTGTGCCCAGGAGTTGGAGGTTGCTATGAGTTGTGTGATGAAGACCCTGCCTCTATAAAAGTAAATAAATAATAAAGTAATGGGACAGAGATTGGCTATGGTTTGATTTAAGCTGAGGGTGAGTTCATGGAGGTGTGTTATACAATGTATAATTCTTTCTACTTTTGAATATATTTGAAATTTTTCTTTTATTTTTTGAGACAGAGTCTCATTATGTCACCCTTGGTAGAGTGCTGTGACTTCACAGTTCACAGCAACCTCAAACTCCTGGGCATAAGTGATTCTCTTGCCTCAGCCTCCCCAGTAGCTGGGACTACAGGCACTGGCACAATGTCCAGCTATTTTTTTGTTGCAGTTGTCATTGTTGTTTAGCTGGCCGGGGCTGAGTTCGAACCTGCCAGGCTCGGTGCATGTGGCCAATGCCGTGACCCCTGTGTGGGCACCAAGCATTTAAAAACAAGCTGTGCTTTTCCTTGGATCAATTTTTTATTTTAAAAAGTAGTCCTTGTAATGCCCAGCTAGCTCAGTCGGTAGAGCATGAGACTCTTAAAAAGTAGTCCTCATAAAGATGTATAGCTTAATATTGGCACACAGCAGATAGCTGTAAAAATCTCGTTGAACCTAACTTAAAACATTGAAATCTCGTTATGCTGAGTTAGTCTGCACAACACTAAGAAGAGCCTTCCTGTTGGCCAGTGAGAAGAGGCTCTTGGCAGGATGATGGCAGCCTATGGGCCCTACAGGGTTACATCTAACCAACTTGTTCTTCCCTCGGCAGGTCCATGCCTCCCGCAGCAACAACATGTGCATTGTTGGTGGATTCACCCAGATGATTCGAGAGGGAGGGGCCAAATCACTCTGGCGGGGCAATGGCATCAACGTCCTCAAAATCGCCCCTGAGTCGGCCATCAAATTCATGGCCTACGAGCAAGTGAGTGTCCAGCTCTCTAGGGAGAGTTGCTAATTGGCAGCTGCTATGAGACTTTCCCTAGACTGAGCTCCCAGAAAAACCTAGAGTCACACATCTTACCCAAGGGACAGTGGGTGAGGCAGGAAGCCTGGCCCTGATGCCAGCTCTACCGCCAGTTCCACTTTAAGCCAGTTCCTTCCATTTCTGGACAGCAAAAATGCGCCTGGGACACCAGGTCTCATCTAAAACATACTGGCTTCATGAAGAAGGGAGGGGCAGGGCTTAGTCTCTAAATGTATCCTGTGGTTTATCTCCCTATTGTAGATCAAGCGTCTGGTTGGTAGTGACCAGGAGACCCTGAGGATTCATGAAAGGCTCGTGGCAGGGTCTTTGGCAGGGGCCATCGCCCAGAGCAGCATCTACCCCATGGAGGTGAGGGACCACCTTCATCCTGGGGGCTGGCGGTGTGCATGGGGCTAGGCTGAGGAGAGGCTATGTTCATACTTCCTGTTGCTCCAATTCTGCAGGTCTTGAAGACCCGGATGGCCCTGCGGAAAACAGGCCAGTACTCAGGCATGCTGGACTGTGCCAGAAGGATCCTGGCTAGAGAGGGGGTAGCTGCCTTCTACAAAGGCTACGTCCCCAACATGCTGGGGATCATCCCCTATGCCGGCATTGACCTAGCTGTCTATGAGGTGAGGTCCTAGAAGCCTCAGGCCTTGGGCAGATTTCAGAAATCCCCTTCTATTCTGCACCTACTCTGCCCCATCCCCTGCTGGCTTCCTCCCTGATGGACTGGGGATGGTTAACTTAGGAAGCAGCCCCAAAGACTGGTTCTCCATCTGGGTCATCAGTTTATTGCATGACTCTCCTCCCTCCTCCTTACTCCTGGCAGTATCTAGCACAGCTCCTACGAGCCTGCCCAGGGTCTGCACTCAGGACTCAGCAGGCAGATCCCCAGAGCATGTGACCCTCAGGGGCTCATAGGTTCCCAGCAAACTCCAGACAGATCACAGAAGTCAGTTCTGCAAGGAAGCGCCCTGTCCTATCCAGGAATCTCTAATAATACCAGAAACAAAGGGCAGGCAGGCCAGGAGTTCTGTAAGGCCTAGGCCATACAGTTGGGTAACAGTGGCTTCAGGACCAGTACCTGCCCAACCTGAGGCTTGTCACCTCCCCAACTCTTCCGGGGTTCATTCCCATCCTCCCTTCCCCTCTAGACACTCAAGAATGCCTGGCTACAGCGCTATGCCGTGAACAGTGCAGACCCTGGTGTGTTTGTACTCCTCGCCTGTGGCACCATTTCCAGTACCTGTGGCCAGCTGGCCAGCTATCCCCTGGCCCTGGTTAGGACACGGATGCAGGCACAAGGTGAGGCTGATGCTGGGCCAGTCCCCAGGAGGCCATCCCCGGGCAATCTGGGGGTTGGGGCTTACAGACAGCATCTGACGGGTGGCTTTTCTTGCAGCCTCCATCGAGGGTGCTCCAGAGGTGACTATGAGCAGCCTCTTCAGACAGATTCTGAGAACTGAGGGGGCCTTCGGGCTGTACCGGGGGCTGGCCCCCAACTTCATGAAGGTCATCCCAGCTGTGAGCATCAGCTATGTGGTGTACGAGAACCTGAAAGTAACCCTGGGTGTGCAGTCACGGTGACAGGAGGGAGGGCAGCCTTGCACCCTGCGGACTCACTGATCCTGGGCCACAGCCCCAGGATGTGCAGCCATCTCATTCTGTGAATGTGCCAACACTAAGCTGACTACGCCAAGCTGTGAAAACCCTGGGATGCACCCGCAAGGAGGGGTGGGAGAGCTGGCAGGCCCATGGGGCTTGTCCTGCTGACCCTGGTGGCCTTCAACGTTGGTTCCAGAGAAGACCTGTGGGCATTCCTCAGGATCCAGGGGTCAGCAGGATACAGGCTCTCACACATGGGGACAGGACATTTCCTGCAGTGCCTGACAAATAGCGAGCTCGGAGGCCAACTTAGTTCTTCCATCTTGTCCTTGCAGCTGACATTGGCCGTAGGCCCTGCGCTCCCTGGCCTGCCGAGCATTTCCCCATGCCCCTGTGCTTCCTTCCTCTCTGCCAAGGTGATGGGGCAGGAGGAGGGCTACTAGCCCACTCCCCTCCCCAACCTCTCCGTCAGTCCATGGAGAAGGGTGGGGGTGGTCCGATTCCCAACCTGCAGGGTCCACTGACTCGGTGTGCAGGAAGAGTAAAGGGTCTAGCCCTGTGCTCCCCTCACCTGAGCCCTGTTGTTGGCCTCCAAGCTCGCCAGCAGCTGAGCACCTGGTGTACATGTGCATGCAGTGGGGCGCTGGCTGCCTGGCATTTTGGCACTTAGCTTCGTGGAAGGTGAGCCCTGGAACCCAGAGGCCTCTGCTCCCTGCTTTGGAACCTCCTGGTGCTCTGAGCTGGCCTGGAGTCTTGTCAGGACTGACACCAGCTCAGAACCAAATTCACTGTCCTCGGTTTGGCATGAGGGCAGTGGAGGATCGTGTTTTAGAGTGATGAGCAGAGCATCTGCGTGCCCTAGTGAGAGAACAAAGGTGGTAAAGGCCTTAATTATGTATCTTTGGGAAAAGGGTTTTGTTTAAGACAAACTGGAAGAATATGCAAGTTCTGTGCTTCCAGAGGGAAGACAAGGGGAGCAGGTGGTTTGGCTGATGGCATTAAAGTCTGCTTCTGACGCCCCTGGGGATATGTGTCCAATCCCACTCGGGGCAAAGTGGGACCAGCCTCACATTCCACTCACGTGACATGTCCACTGCTTGGAGCCTATTTATTTTGTATTTATTTGAACAGAGTTATGTCCTAACTATTTTTATAGATTTGTTTAATAGCCTATCATTTTCAAGTTCATTTTTTATTCATATTTATGTTCATGGTTGATTGTACCTTCCCATGCCACCAGGTGGGGAGGAGGGGAAGGAAGGGCCTCAGAAGGGACCCTTCCTGATGCCCATGCCCAATGTCGTGTCCAAAGAAATTCCTCTCAGGACTGGAGACAGAAGGAAGGAGAGTCCTTTGGCAGTTCAGGGCAGAGTTTGCTCCCAGGGAGCCTCAGGATCTTGGCAATGGGGGCGAGGAGAGTGGGAGAAACCTCAGCATTGAAGGCAGAAGTCCAGTTTCCTAGACTGGGAAGATTTCTTTATTTCAGCTTTTTTGAATGACAAGGCAGTGAGGTGCCGCTCACTGTGAATTTGCCGGGGCTGGAGAAGAGGGTAGGAGCTTTCTCCCCCCACTGCTCTTGCTCAGTAATACTAGTCAACTAGAGGCTTCACAGCTGCACTTCATTCCACCAGAATGGCCTGATGAGGAAAACTTCAATAGGATGCAAAGATCAATGCAAAAATTGTTATATATAAATATATATAGTTATAACTGGAATTTGTCAAAAAGCAAATTAAGAATTGGAAGTTATCGCTTAAAACAGCCTTCTAATAAAGTTGTTTCAAAGCTGATGGTGGAGTCAGGATTTTCTGATTTAGGCTTGGGTGATTTGAGGGCATTTATATTAACATGTAAGAAAATGAATCCATTTTTCTCCTCTGAAACCCAGGCAGCCTTGCCCTCATTAGTGGGTGTTCATTAGATTTGGGGTGCTCTCGCCAGTGCCCCAAGTTGCCCTATCAAATGGTCCTTCCTCAGCCCATCTTGGGTAGAGCCATCCCTCCCTGGATGGAAGCACCATCTTCATGGAGACAATGTTGGCACATCTAACCCACCCTGCTGCTGTCCCTCTGTGACCTCAGACCTCTCCTCTTTACTCATATACCTTGTGACCTCATCTTGCTGAAGATTACTTTCAACATCTATATTTAGATGACCTTGGTTTTATACTCGAATTAACACCAGACCCGCTAAGCAGACATGTGGAGTTCATAGTTGGATTAAACAGCTGACAGGCATCTTCTAAGTGTCACATGTCTGAAGCCAAATTCTAAAGTTTTCCTCTTCAAATCTCCTCCCTTTTCCTCATCCCAGCAAAGGTCAACTCCTTGCTTCTAGGAACTTAAACCAGAAACCCTGGAGTCATCCTGCATCTTGGACTTCACGCTTCCCTCTCATTCTAGGTCAAATCCATTAGCAAATCCTTTCAGCTCTACCTGCAAAATATATCTGCAATCCGACTACTCACAACCTCCACTCCTGCCACCTGGTTGAAGACAATGCCGTTTCTTACCTGCACAACTGCAAAACCTCCCACACTTGTCTCCTTCCCTCTCACAGCCTGAGTGATCCTTCAAAAACCTCAAGTCTGGCTTGGCACCTGTGGCTCAAGTGGCTAAGGCGCCAGCCACATACACCTAAGGTAGTGGGTTTGAATCCAGCCCGGGTCGCCAGACAATGATGGCTGCAACCAAAAAATGGCCAGGCATTGTGGCGGGTGCCTGTGGTCCCAGCTACTTGGGAGGTTGAGGCAGGAGACTCGCTTGAGCCCAGGAGTTGTAGGTTGCTGTGAGCTGTGATGCTACGGCACTCTACCCAGGGGGATAGCTTGAGGCTCTGTCTCAAAAAAAAAACCAAACCTAAAGTCTGGTTCATGTCACTCAAAATCCTTCAATGAATAGACAGGCGATAGCCTGGGAGAAAATCTTTGCAGTACAGTATATTACATATATATGTATGCATATATATATATATATATATAACAGAGGATCTGTATCCAGAATATATTATTAACTCCCGTAACTCAAGAAGAGGACAACCCAATTAACAATTGGCACTCCTCAAAAGAACATGAAGGAATAGTTGATAGACATGAAAAAGGGCTTTGCTAAGGACATTACCTATCACAGAGAAGCAACACTAATGACACATCAGTGCACATATACCAGGACTGCAGTTCAAGCCTGCACCGAGCTTGAGAATCTGGAGCAAGCAGACTCCTCAGACATGGCTGGCAGTAAGTAAAATGTTAACCACTTTGGAGAACTGCTTCTATAAAAGGTAAACAGATATTACCCTGTGACCCAGCAGTTCTCCTAAGTATTTACCACTTTCCCCCTAAATGAAAATATGTCCACAGCAGGTTCATTCAAAACAGCCCCAACCTGGAAGCAGTCCACATACCCATCAGCGGGTCAGACTCCCACACTGCCATGTCCACACAGTGGAATGCTGGTCAGTGACAAATGGGAGTGAGTGAGTGAGGCTCCAGGCCACACTGTGATAAATCTAAAACACAGAAGCCAAACACAGAAGAGTAAATATTGTAGGTAAATTCTACCTAAATTGTGTTTTTCTAATCTATGGTGAAAGGAATGAGGGTGGTGGCTGGAGAGAAGCAGTGTGCGTATGCCAAGGCTCATTTGCCTGGCAGGGTGGCAACCCTATAGTCCCAGCTACTCTGGAGGCTGAGGGGGGAGGATTGCTTGAGGCCAGGAGTTCGAGGCTGCAGTGAGCTGGGATAGCGCCCATGAAGAGCCACTGCACTCCAGCCTAGGCAACACAGAGACCCCATCTCTTACAGGAAAAAGACCACCTCATTGAACTACATAGTCAGACACCATATATTTCGCTGCATATAAATTATATCTGAATTTGAAAAAAGAAGGGGACAGAAAACCTAGTACACCCTTTCTCATCCAGAGACAAAAGTAACCACTGCCCCTCCCACCACCAACCTGCCTGTGCTGGGGTGTTGCTGAGAGTTCGGGGGGAGGGAGACCCTTTCCTGGAATCTGCTCACAAGGCCATGGTACCAAAGGCGGTGTGATCCAAGGCTCTGCATGTGGGAGGACCGCCTTTCTCATTTAAACCAACATTCACTCACACACCTTAGTGTCCCTGTGTTCTTTAAGGCCTCCAAGATGATACAGGTTTGAGCCCCACAAATCTGGAACCCACTGTCACTCAGGCCTCTACTGGTCCCCCTCTCTGAATGCAAGGCTACCCAGCATTCACCCCTCTCTGCCTGCAGGCTCTGTCCCTGGGTGGCTTCCTCACTTCTTTCTGTCACTGCTCAGAGTCACCTTGTTGGAAGTGAGACAGACTGTCTCTCTCCCTGGTCCCCCACCCTGCTGTGTTCTGTGAGCACAGCACCTCCTAAGGTCTGTGAGGGCAAGACCTCAGTGGCAGGGTGTGTGTTTTCAGTTGCATCTCCAGTGCTCAAGACACTCCTGGCACACCAGGGCTCAATAAAATGTCGGTTCAATCTCTGTCCACACTGCAGTTCCCTGATAACCCAGGCACCGGGGTCCAGCTGGCAGGAAAAGGAATGAAGCGGTGTGAGGAACCCTCCAGGGCACTCTGGCGTCCAGAGGCTACAGCGGGAGGCACAGAGGGTGCCCACATGTGAAACTGGCACCTACCACTGTTCTGGGTTGAACAATGTCCCCACCCCCAAAAAATTCATGACCTAGAACCTCAGAACATGGCCTCATTTGGAAATAGGCTCTTTGCAGATGTCATCAAGTTTAGATGAGGTCATCCTGGATTAGGAAGGGCCCTAAGTCCAAAGACTGATGTCCTTATAAGAAGAGGGAAATTGGGACACAGAGGAGAGAGACACTCAGACACGTGATGATGAAGGTGGAGATTGAGGTGAATCTTCCAGAAGCTAGGAACAGGCATGGACCAGACTTTCCCACTGACCCCTCCAGAAGGAACCAGCCCTTACCCTGCTTAGAGGCCTCCAGAGCTGCAGGAGACTAAATGTGTATCCACTTCCCTGGTGATCTGTTACCACAGCCCTGCAGACAGGAGACTAATCACTTGTTTTCATCTGCTTGTTCCAGGGTAATGGGCATAAGTCACTTCCCAGCCATTGGGTCTTAGCAAATTGGTATCTTCGGCCCCTAACCTGGCCCTGTCCAGGCCTGATCTCAGTTCCGTCCAGCTGGGAGGAGGGACCCCTCCAGTGTGAGGTCAATCCTGGGGTGTTCTTAGAGTTGCTGTGCAGAGCAAACCTTCCTGTGGCTACCTCCTCTACTCTGTCTCCACCTTCCTGTCTTCTCCTGTCACCTTAGTGAGGCCTTCTCTGACCCGCCTCCTTAGAACTGCAGCTCTATCCCCACCAGCCCAGCTCTCAATCTGATTTTTCTCCCAGCACTTTCCACCATCAACTGTGCTATTTCCACTCTTAGTTTCCTGCCTGTCCCCTCCCCTGGGAATGTCAGCTCCATGAGAGTGGGGACATCTCTTGGCTTTTTCACTGCTAGTGCTGGCTTGGGAACAGTGCTCCATAGGTCCTTGACATCCACATGTTTCTTGGTGGGTGGGTGGACTGTGCCCCCATGAAGAACCCAGAACCTGTGAATCAGGTTCCATGGCAAAGGGGAATTAAGGCTGCTAATCACCTGGCCCCCAAACAAGGCGATTGTCGTGGGTCATCCAGGCAGCCCAGTGTGATCACAGGAAACTTTCAGTGGGAAGGACCAGGAGAGCCAGCGAGCTGGTGCAGGGAGACCTCACACTGTGTTGCTGGCTTTGAAGAGGTGGAAGAGGCTACAAGCCAAGGACAGCAGCCTCTGAAAGGCAATGAAAAGGATTCTCCCCTAGAGCCCCCAGCAGGAATGCAGCCTGCCTGACACCTTGATTTTAGTCCCATGAGATCCACTTCAGACATCTGACCTTCAGAACTGATAATGCAGTTACATTGTTTGAGTTTGTGGTGATCTGTTACAACAGGCACCGGGGACAAACACACCTGGGTGGCCCTTCTTCATCTTGGCTGAGAAGAGCCACTTCCCACCCACTGGGCCCCTAGTGGGGATAAAACCCCTTGGTCAAGGTTCCCAACTAGAGTCCTGCAGAGGGGAAGGGGAAGGGCAGCTTCAGGAAGCTTTCCTGACCTGCAGACACTAGGACAGTGGACATCCCTATTCCACAGTGTTCAGGCTGTGTGACCTTTGGCAAGTCACACCACCTCTCTGAGCCTGTCTGCTTGTCCTTTAGAGGAAGAGAGCAAGACTCGCCTGGGAGGGCTGTTGGGAAATTGAAATGAGGTGGGAAATTATCCTTAATTAACAGTCTCATCTCTCAGCAGCCCCCCTTCCTCCAAGGTTCCACATGTGCACAGAATGGCGCCAGTAGTCCCTGATGGGCCTGGGGTCTCATGCACCTGAGAGGAAATCTGAAGCCAACCCAGGAGCCACTCCAACTATGTGGTCCATCCAGTCCCCCTTTTGGATTCTTCCTGAAGCTGGGCCCTTGGTCTCAGGCCTGCTGGGGCACTGCACACACTGGCCCTCACTCAGTTCACAGCAGTTCTAGATGACACTGCTACTGCCATGTCCCTGTTTTACAGACCAGGAAACTAAGGCTCCAGGAAGGGAAGGGGCTTGCCCAGGGCCTCCCTGTGAGCAGGTAACAGAGTTCAGATGCAGGTCAACGGACACCAGAGTGGCACGCGGCAAGCATGGGGGTACAGATGTGGTGGGCTCTGCTAAGAGACAAGAGCCACTGCCCCCCTAAAGAACAGGAGGGGCCTAGGGAGCCCCACCTTGTCATGTAACAT